TGTTGAATTTTAGTTGGTGTCAGATTTGTTTTTCCTTTGATTGATGTAATGATCCTAAAACTGATGATATGAATAGAGGCCAGTTTCCGTTCAAAAAAAAGTTCTTCTAGGTATACTTGTAATTAACTCAAACTTTATGGATAATAATAATGGCAAGTTACCATCACCGGCGGATAATAATAACGGCGGCGGCGGTAGCAGCAGCAGCAGCAGCACCTTCGGCGTCCAGGGAGGAAAATTCATGGGATACCTGGTCAGTCGAAGGGGCATTGAGGTGAACCCGGAGAAAATACAGGCCATCATCAACATGGAACCACCCCGCAACATCAAAGAAGTGCGATGGATGACGGGACGCCTTGCGGCCCTAAACCGTTTCCTCTCGAAATCCGCCGAGAAGTCACTCCCTTTTTTCTAAATAATGCGGAAGGCCACCAGCTTCAAGTGCACGACGGAGTGCCAACAAGCCTTTGAGGAGCTGAAACAATATCTCGCCTCCCCACCCGTCTTGTCCAAACCCCAACCCGACAAGACTCTTTTCCTCTACTTAGGAGTGAGCACGTCGGCCATCAGCTCCGTGCTCATCAGGGAAGATGACGGAGTACAAAAAGGCATATTCTATGTCAGCAAGACGCTACGGGAGGCCGAGCTTAGGTACCCCCCATCAAGAAAACAGTCCTGGCCATCGTCCACATGGTGAAGAAGCTGGGGCACTACTTCCAGGCTCATCCCGTTCACATCCTCACACATCAGCCGTTGGGCGCCCTCATGAGAAGCCCAACCAGCTCTTCGAGAATGATCAAGTCGGCAATCTTCCTGAGCCAGTACCAAATTGAAATCAAGCCGAGGCCATCCATCAAGGGCCAGACCTTGGCCGACTTCATCACACAATGCACGGCAAGGGAGACGACCGTCGCCAACACCAGCCCCGAACCAGAAGAAGCCTGGACCCTCTTCACATATGGGTCCTCGACTAACAAGGCATGCGGGGGCGGGGGCGTCCTCAACTCCCCTGAAGGTTTTAGAGCATATTACGTCATCCGCTTCAATTTCAGGGTATCCAACAATGAAGCCGAGTATGAAGCGCTACTCAGCGGCCTCAGACTGGCCGCCAGCCTAAAAGCACGCCACATCAGAATCAGATGCGACTCAAAACTCGTGGTAGGCTAGATAGGGGGCTCGTACGAGGCCAAAGAAGGAAGAATGAAACAGTACAAGGAGGCGGCTGCGGAATTGCTTAAAGCGTTTGAAACCTACGAGATCACTCAGATCCCAAGGGTGGAGAACGCAGAGGCCGACATACTCTCCAAACTCAGCTCCGACACCCCTGAGCACATCTCCAAGATCGCAAAGGTGGAGGAGTTAAGTATGTCAAGCATTAATGCCAGCCCCATACTTTGCGTACAACACCAGTCGGAGGATTGGATAATTGACATCGCAACATTCATCACCTCCGGCACACTCCTGGAAGACGAGGAGAGGGCCAAGCTAGCCAAACTCAGGGCCCCAAGCCATGTCATCGAGGATGAAAAGCTCTACTAAAGATCATACAACGACACTCTCCTCTGATGCCTACACCCGAATGAGGCCGAAGTGGCCATGGAAGAAGTGCATTGCGGCGTCTGCTCATCACACCAAGGACCCTTCAGCATGTCCCGCCGCCTCATCGTACAAGGATACTTCTGGCCGACGATGGCGCGAGATTGCACTGAAGTAGCCCACAAATGCACAACATGCCAACACTATCAAAGGGCACCTGGCCGGCCGGCCGTCAACTATGCCCTGGTGAGCACAACCATCCCATTCTCCAGATGGGGTATCGACCTCGTCGGCCCACTTTCAAGAGGCACGGGCAACAACAGGTACATCATCGTCGCCATCGACTACTTCACCAAATGGGTCGAGGCCGAACCACTCGCAAGCATCACCGGGGCGCGGTGTCGAAAGTTCGTCTACAAGAATATCCTCACCCGCTTCGGTGTGCCCCAAGAGATCATATCAGACAACGGCACCCAATTTGAGGTCGAACCATTCCAAACACTCCTCCAAGAATGGGGTATCAAGCATCGTTTCTCCTCCGTTGCCTACCCACAGGCTAACAGGCAAGTTGAGAACGCCAATAGGACCATCTTGGAAGGGTTAAAGTAGAAACTTGAGGACGAGGGAGGCAGTTGGGTCGACGAGCTCCCCAATGTCCTATGGTCATACCGCACCACGCCAAGAAGGGCCACCGGGGAGACCCCATTCTCCCTCTACTATGGCTTCGAAGCCAAGGCTCCCACAGAGGTAACACTTCCTAGTCGACGGGTCACACAATACGACCCCGAAGCCAATGAAGAAACAATGAAGATCAACTTGCACCTCATCGACGAAAGACGGGAGATGGCTTATCTCAGGGCGGAGAACTACAGATGCCAGGTCAAATCATATTACGACGCCAAGGTTCTCTCCCGCAAATTCCAACTGGGGGACTACGTTCTCCGCCGAAGGGAAGCAAGCAAGCCGATGGAAGGATGAAAGCTCGCCCTCAAATACGAAGGGCCATACGTAATCAGTGATGTCATCAATGTAACACCCCGACCCCGTAGGACCTGAGGGAGTTACTCCAGACCACTAGTACTGTCCCCACAAACCACCACGAGCCTTTTCCGCACACTTTATCCTCACTCATGCGCGCCCTGAGAAACTTCCCAGGGGGTCACCCATCCCAAGACTACTCCCGTGCAAGCACGCTTAACTTTGGAGTTCTTGGTGATGAGCTCCCTTAAAAGGAGATGCATCTTGTTTGTATGAGTAGTACTATTAATCTGTTTATATTAAATCTCAAGTGTTACAATCACCCCCACTTAGGATCGCAACGTCCTCGTTGCGCCCTTAAACCAATCTCAATCAAATCCCAGAAACTTTTCCCCTGCTAGGTGTCTGCCCGATATTCAACGGATCAGCACACTGTCGCAGGGTTGCTCGGATACCAATTGTAACACCCCGGCCCCACCGGACCCGAGGTAGTTACTCCGGACCAATAGTACTGTCCCCACAAACCACCACGAGCCTTTTCCGCACACTTTATCCTCACTCGTGCGCGCCCTGAGAAACTTCTCAGGGGGTCACCCATCCCAAGACTACTCCCGTGCAAGCACGCTTAACTTTGGAGTTCTTGGTGATGAGCTCCCTTAAAAGGAGATGCATCTTGTTTGTATGAGTAGTACTATTAATCTGTTTATATTAAATCTCAAGTGTTACAATCACCCCCACTTAGGATCGCAACGTCCTCGTTGCGCCCTTAAACCAATCTCAATCAAATCCCAGAAACTTTTCCCCTGCTAGGTGTCTGCCCGATATTCAACGGATCAGCACACTGTCGCAGGGTTGCTCGGATACCAATTGTAACACCCCGGCCCCACCGGACCCGAGGTAGTTACTCCGGACCAATAGTACTGTCCCCACAAACCACCACGAGCCTTTTCCGCACACTTTATCCTCACTCGTGCGCGCCCTGAGAAACTTCCCAGGGGGTCACCCATCCCAAGACTACTCCCGTGCAAGCACGCTTAACTTTGGAGTTCTTGGTGATGAGCTCCCTTAAAAGGAGATGCATCTTGTTTGTATGAGTAGTACTATTAATCTGTTTATATTAAATCTCAAGTGTTACAATCAAAGCCGGCACATATAGACTAAAAAACCCTAATGGATCAGATGTACCACGATTGTGGAATGTACACCATCTGGTGAAATTTTATCAATAACTCGAGAAGTGGTGTAGTGGGCAACGTCCCCCACCCCTAGGCTTATTGATTGAATAAACACCCTCGGCCTAGAGCCAGTTATCAAATAAAACATCATATTCCATTCATTCATGCAAATATTGATGGAGGCCGCATCGGCCCACTCCGATGCACCCAAAGTCGTTGCCCTAAACAACGCACCTAAGGCTGTTGCCCTAAACAACGCACCTAAAGCCGTTGCCCTAAACAACGCACCTAAAGTCGTTGCCCAGAGCAACGCAACCCGTAAGCCGTTGCGATACGACAACGCAACCAAACGTCGTGACCCTCATATATTTTCTAAAAAATAAAGGGACAAACAAAACACGACTAAAATGCCGCATCGGCCCAGGCGGTGAAACACCCAGGAATGGCCGACAGTTTGTAGGACGAAGGACCTGTGTGCATGGCCCGACGTCTTCAAATGGAGAAGCATAACACGTCATCCGCGCGGAAACCGCGGGACGACAAGCCTGAATTAAGGTCGAGGTTACAAAAACTCCACCCGTCAGTAAAATTTCTCAAGGACCACAAATGGCGGCCGTCACAAGACACAAGCTAGCCCGGTCCCTCATCGCCGATAGACGTGGAAAGGCCACAAAAGAGTTCACTGACATACTAAGTCGAGGGAACATTGACCCCCTCGTCTTATCACACGCGAAAAGCGTAGCGGAAAACCTACCTTGTATGGGCAAAGGGACAGTAACCCTTCGGCCCATACAACCCAAAAAAAAAAAAGAGGGAAGCCGACAGACCGCGCACTCGCCGGCCTCGAGCAACAAAAATAAAATCCCCACAAAATTCAGGCCGCGAAAATGACTAAGTACATATCAGTTCTACTAACAAATGCACAAACGACTGAAGACCACGCAATGGAGGGACGCTGCGTCCCACTCACAAGAAGCTAAGGGCCAACGAGCCCATCGGCCCAACACCTAGAAACACCCGATACCCTTGGCATAAGGACGAAGCAATCACTTCATAACAAGGCTTCGGCCTCATCATCACCGGGTCACAATCCTGATACTTGGAAAAATTTCAACGGAAATTACCTTAAGCAAAACAAGACAAGCACCTGAGACGATGAAGCGCATCGTCCCCACGGGCAACAATTAAACAATAGACCGCCACGTCTCATTCGTTGGACATCAATATCCTCAAAATGAAGTCTTGATACTTAGAAAATTTTCGAGTGCAAGAAGAAGTAAACATGCATTCCTATAAAGACGATGAGAGACA